TTGTTAATAAAATTCGACTAATAAAAATTGCCTAATAAAATATAATATAATCTAAATAAATTTGACTAATAAATTTGTTAATATAACAATATAGGTCCTATATAGGTTAACTTTATTGCTAATATAAAATATCTAATACACTAATAGTTAATTTTTAAAATATTTAAACAAGAAAATTAAAAATTTAACTTTAATTTATTTTGTTAATTATTAATTACCAATTTATTTTGCCAATTATCGATTGCTAATTTATTTGCCTTTTTTATAATAAAGTACAAAAACTTAAATATAAATGTTTCAAATTTTGTTATAATTATATAAGCTCAAGCATATATATAAATACTTTAAATTTTGTTATAATTATATAAATTTCAATATATAAATGAACATATAATATTTAACTATATTTAAAACCATATTTTGCATATAAAATTTAGCATAAATTTTTTTAAAAAAATAAACTATAAAGTTTATATTATATCAAATATTATAATCTTATTGGTTTTTTTGTTTTTTAAATGCTTTAGAAGATCGAGCTTTCCAATGTTTATCTTCAATTTGACATGATACACAAAGTGGATAAACTGTTTTCAAATTTTCTTGCATATCAGAAGGAATTTCAAGTAATTCATCTTCTGAACCACACCAAAAACATAAATCTACATCTTTAAGTCTACAAGAATAATAATTATGTTCAATTAGTGAATTACAAGTTAAATTAAGATATATATAAAGAGTATTAGCAAGAAAATAATCATCTAAAACAATTAGTGATCCACAACTATATAGTATATTATCCAAATATTGAGTAATAGCTTCTATTTTAGTATTATTTAATATAGTTTTAGAATATATACAATAATACTTTCTACAATAGTCAAAAGCAATTAACAGTCGAATAAAATTATTTACAAAAATTTCACAAAAATTTCTTCAGATTTTAATTTTTTATTTGAAGGTTTAAATTCTTCTGTTGTTTTTTGTTAATATATTTCATTAAATTCTTTATAATGCTGATTATCTAATAAAATAATATAATTTAGTTATTACTTATATCATAAAAATATTTACTGTTGGCTACTGCCTACAGTACCCAGAGTATTATTCAAGAACTCCATTTTTAAAATTAAATAGTATCTGTGGGTATTGTATAAAGAACCAGGTACTATATTTGGGGTAGTGATGGTATCCGATCAAAAAAATGCTATCTGGTTATCCGACGGGTAAACCTGCAGATTACCCAGGTGATCGACAGATATATCTGAATATAAAATCTTATCTGATGTACCTGGATAGAGTTACAGCTGTTCTCATAAATTCTGAAAAATTTGGTAAAAGTTGACCAACCGAATATTTGCTGATTAGTGATAAACTTTTAATTCAGATGTAATTATCACTGCTAAATCAAAGCTTATCGAATCAGCAAATATTCAGTTGGTCAACTTTTGCCAAATTTTTCAGAATTTATAAGAACAGCTGTAATTACAGCTATTATTATAATTTCTGGGATATCTGAAATCTTTTTGGTTGTTCGGTAAATTGCCTAACTCTTCAGAAATTATATCATTGTCTTCGGATTGAAGGTTAGGTAATTCGAGTAATGAGTAGGTATCCCAGAAATTATAATAATAGGCATAAATAAAAATCTGCTGAATGATTTTTCGGTTATTCCGGTTAATTGTTGATTTCAGCTTGATCGAATCTTTTATACAACTATCTGGCTCTTTTTATATTAGCTTTGATAATTGAAACTGGATATTCAATTTGGGTATGCTTATCCAGGTATTATCTAGGTATGCTTATCCAGGTAGCTGAGTTAATAATCTGGATATCTGATTATTTGCAGATAACCTGGGTATCATCACTAATTTGAGGATATATCATATTAAAAGAAGTAAATCAATATAGTTGTACTCCCGGGTCTTATTCAAATAACAAGCCAGTAAGGATAGTGAATAATACCTGAGTTTTAATTATGGGAGGTATTATTTTTGGGAGATACTGTAAGCAGTGGCCAACAGTATTATTTATATATAAAAGTTAAAATAATTATAACTTAAAAAAAACTAATTTTTAAAAAATATGTTTTATAAATTTGTTGTTTTAATCTAAGCTACAATTTTCTTAATATATTCTATATTATAATTTATTTAATGATATTTCTAGATTTGGAAGAAATGCTAATAATTCAAACTCATCATCTGTCATTCTAATTGGTTTGCAGAAACAACATTTCAAATTTCTATATTTTTTGATTTGAAATATATATGTTCTAATTTGACAATGTATATTAAAAAATTCTTGATATAATTGTTGTTTTTTAAGAGCATTATTAGTAGTAATAGACTTTTTAAGTGTAGAATCAATTGTTAAAATATTCTATAATTTTTAATTAATAAAATTTAAGTTAGTAATATAAAATTTTTAATAAATATAAAGTGTTTGTTATATATAGCAATTAATTAATTTATAAATTATATAATTATAAATTGTAAACTAAAAAGTAAATCTAATTTAATACTGTAATAAAGTTAACTTTTATAAAAAAAAATTATAATTTTGGTAATACAAAATTAATTTTTTGGTTTTCATAATATAAAATTTGAAAAATAACCTAGCAACCCAGCTTTTTTTTTTTTTTTTTTTTTTTATATATATTGGCAGCCTCGCCGGTATCTTTATTAGATCAAAGCATATATATATACA